AGAGTGGAGGGGGAATAGGAGGGAGGGGCGGGGGGAAGGGGGAGGGAGGGGAGAAGGGGACGGGAGGGAGGGCTGGGGAAAGGGGGGAACGGTGAGTGAGGGATGGAAGGAGGGAGGGAGTAAAAGGGACACGCCATCAAGGGAAGGCGAGGGGAACGGGCAGGGGACGGGGAGGGGGGGAGGGGGAGGGACAGGGGAGGGAAGGGAGGCGGGGCCACCGATTGGTTCAGCCACAGGATCGATCACTGCGGGTCGCCCTGGCTTTGGGACACTTGGGTGGATGAGGATTCAACCTTAACACTGGACCCAGGGGGGAAAACGTGTTCTAACTTATTGTTTGAAACGTGTGCTCGCATGTATGTATTTCTTCTCCGTGTGTATGTGGTCGTTTCCATTCCAGTCAACGTGTCCTCGCCCTCCTCCGCCTCCCTCTCGTCCTCCTCGTCCTTAATGTCCTCCTGCTCGTCCTCTTCCTCCTCGGCCTCATTATCCTCGTCCGCCTCCACCTCCTTGCCATCACCGCCGCCATCCTTATCGCCTTTGCCCTTTGGGCTCGAACAACTCTGGCTCAAGTGTTTCCGCAGCTCTTAGCAGTTCGGGGATGAACCCACGCTGCGCCGAGGCGCCCCTCCCCCCCGCCCCCGTGATTTGTCCACGGCCTGGCGAAAGCAGCTGGCATGACTTAGGCTTGACTTGAGCGGGGGTTGCCAGGCTAGAATGGAACGTGAAAAGGTGAAACAACAGGGCGCGCAACATTGCAGGCGCGGCCTTGTGAGTTTTGCCAACAAATTGCGGGTGGGTGGGCGGGGTGTTTGTTCGAGCATTGAAGGCGGTCTCCAACGGAGGCCTCCAAAGTGACCGCGTCTGGCAGTAACCGCCTCCGCGTGGCAGCGGAGGTGGTCGTGCGTTGGCACCTCGACCAACAATGAAAACAATGTGGGGCCATGGGCCTGCGTGGCTCCTTCTTTCGCTATCTTGGTCAGGCCAGCGCTGCGCGCGCGGGTAGAAACATCACCCGCGCGTTTGTTATATATAAAGCTGCACGAACCCATCAGGGTGCTTTCTCAGGAGCGCACGTCATGCGGCAGCCCTCTGGGCGCACTTCCCAGGAACACGCCAGACGCATGAAACGAGACTTACTCACAATATGCATAAACATACAACCCTTCAACCTCAGGGCAGGATCCCACGTCGGGCCCGCGGGCCCTCAGGGCGGAGCTTCACTTCGCGAGCTGAAGCTCCGCCATGCTGCGCGCCGCGGCCGCGAGAGGGCCCTGGCCGCGACCCTGCCAGGCGGCGATGGCATCCTCTGCGGCGTTCCAGAGCTCAGAAGGGAAGCGACAACGGCGCAGCGCCTTCGCCACCTGCTACGGAGGCGCAATGGCTGCCCCGGCTGCGGGGTCCAGGCGCCAACTGGGACTGAGCACCCCGGATGCCCCGTCGGCGGCGGCGCGGAAGCCACCCCGACAGGCCGCGCGCCGAGCGGCGGCTTCGAGGGCAAAGCTCCCGCGCTGGGGGCCCCCCGCAAGCAGCACCGCACGTGCCAGCGGCCGTGCCGGCTGCCGCACCGAGCAGACAGCGCCGCGCGAAGTCGACGGGCAGGCGGCCGATGCGGGCAAACCTGCCGCACGCCATCTTCGCGCGATTGGCTGCGACAGCATAGCGGCGCGCGGGCCCGGAATTGGGGGTGACCCCGAGGTCCTTGGAGCCCGTGCCAGAGGAGACCGACGGCGTCTGCTCTGCCAGCCATCGTCGCGCCGCGGCCGAATTGGCGAAGTGCTTGCTTTTGTCCCAATTGAGCCGCCGCCCCATGACCTGCTCGAGGGCGTCCGTCGCGCATAGCGCCTCCCGGACGGACTCCGCAGCCTCGCCGGCGTCGTGCGCCATGCGCCGTGCCAACCAGTGTGAAGTCAGCCACGTAGATCCGGCGCCGCAGGTCGTCGATTCCCCGACACGTTTGTGCCACGGCAGCGCGTGAGCACGCTCAGGAAAAAGACGGCGAGCGCGCAGCTAGGCAGAATGCCATTGGCGGGGGCCCAAGCACTGATCCGCCTGCGAGCGGAGTAAACGTGTACGGCCGGGCCGACAATCCACAGCGGCACCCCAGCGCGCTCGAGCATGCCAGGCAGGGAGCCCAGGGCGATGTGGCCGTATGCCTCACTACTTCCTCCTGTCCAGCGCCGCCCCAGAAATGCTCTCGCCAAGGGCCGGTCCCAAGGCTGGCACAAGCAGATCCAGAATGGAAGCCCCGCCCCTGCAGGCCCCTTCGCTCCACCTGGTGAATTAGGGCGCTCGAGAAGGGCCGCGTGCTCGGATCTTGGAGAAGCAGGCGCTCCGCCCACGGTGGAAGGATGGCCTGAGGACGGCGGGGGCAAAGCGTTGGCGGCTTCGCCAGAGGAGGCACGGAGGAGCGCCACTGGAAGCAAGGCGCTGGCGCACCCCAGTTCTCCGGACTAGGCACTACCCTCCTCACGCCTTCTTGCGATTGTTTTGGTCGAGTACACGATCAAGTGACTTTTCGTCAGCGTGACCTTTGGTGCGCGCCCATCGGGGACCCCCGATCGCCGAACACGATGCGATGGCAGCGGCTTTCGCGCTTAATGTTGGCTCCCCTTCAGCCGCCCACCGCAGGCCACTTTTGCCTGGAGTCACTCTTGCGTGTAGAGTCAACCCGCACAGTAAGGATGGGCACCCGTCGCAAGGGTACCCTTGCATATTTGCCTCCGCGGTCAATCCTTCGCCACTTCCGTCGAGAAACTTCGGCATGGGCGTCCAAGGCCCTTGCATCCTTATCGCGCATCCTTATGATACGGGCCGGCTGTAGCTGACTCGAGCGACGCCAAGGCCAGTCGAAACATGTCCGGCCGGAGCCGCGGGCGGCGCTATTCGTCCATCAGGAGCAGATATCCGCTGGGAGCGGAGGGGCACCACCTCTGGCTTCGGCCGCGCTGCGTGGAAGAGGCAGGTCGTCCGGGAGGCTCCCTCCAGCGTCAACAGAAAAAGGAGGACAGAAAGCCAACGGGAAGGGAGGAAGAACACGATGAAGCCTGGACTCAGCCTTCCCCGCCCTCCTCTTCGGCGGTCGGTAGCGGGGGGGCAATAGAGACGGGGGGATCGAAAGGTGCCCTGACAGAGTGCCCTGAACGGCATCTGAGCTGCCACCACCAGCCCCAGACGTGCTGGACAGGCGCACGGTGCTTCCCCCAACCCGCTTACCGTCGGGGCGCTGAAGAAGGAATCCTTTTCGTTGGGGAGGGGCTCAGTTTTCCTCGATTGCTTCACAGTTTGCCTTGGGTTTTCCTGAGGTTTCCCCTGGAAAATCGAACTTTAACTGATGGGAGAAAGGGGCCTCGTTCCTTATTTAGGGTTCCTTAGGTCAACGTCCCGACTGTACTCCTTGAGATCCAACGTTGCAAAAAACAAATGCAACATCGCAGAAAGTCACCACTGGAGCCCCAGACACCACTTTTCGGCTTCCTTTCTCGAGCCGCGTCGACGTGTGAGGGCCTCGGGGCCCGGCATCGAGCGAAAGCGCCCGTAGTGAAACAGCTGCCTTCTCAGGGTTGTTGGCCCCCGCGGACGAGAGCCGGAGCTTCTGCAGCCGCCTCGGCTCTTCCGTACATATCGGACCCACAGGGCGGCCGCGCTCGCCACTCCATGTAATCCGAGGCGGGGATGCATCCAGCCCCCGGCAGGGGCATCGCTCTCCGCGGTTCTCAGCAGGCGGCGGACGTGTCCACCGCCCGCTGGCGCACCAGGACCTCGGTTCCCAGGCGGTGGATCTGGATTCACCCCCGCCTCGCAAGGAAGAGCGCTTCCTCGGAGGGGGGGGCCCAGCCGAGACGGCGCCGGCGCTCCCGCGCGGCCCCGCTCAGCATCGGTGCCCGGAGACCCCTCCTCGAGGCCCAACCCGACTCGACTGCATCGTCCGGGAGGTCAGATTCTGACTTCCCCGAGATCCGCCGTCTCAGAAAAGTTGAGGCGTCGTGAAGAATCGCGCCTGGAGCCCTGGACCCGACCTTTCTGCGGTGTTGCTCGAGCCAGGTGAATCCATGAGGGTCCCGGGGCCCGAACTCATGTGAAAAGGCCCGGCTCGAGAACGCCCAGCTCGAAAACATTGAGTCGCTAGGATCTCAGGCTTTGCCCTGGTCCGAAATCCCGCTCAGGCCGGCTGAATTCCGCTCCGTCCGGCTCAGTCCCCTTGCATCCGGCTTCGTGTCGCTGAATCCGTGGCCTAATCCGGCGAGCCCCCCAATGGGGCTCAGTCCTGCCTCCCCAATCCTTCCGACGAGGATCTCCCAACGGTCGCCTCCCAATCCCGACCCGCCCTTCGCGGAGGGCCCCGCCGTGGCGACGAGGAGCCTCCGGGAGGTCCAGGACCAGACCACCCCGGCCGCTGCCATGCTTGTTCCACGCGCGGGCCCCTGGAGGCCTCGACCGCTTTCCCACGGTGATGGGCCTGGTTTCCACCACCACCTCCACCATGAGTTGGAGGGGGAGGGGGTCTTCCTCCTCCTCCTCCTCCTCCTCCTCCTCCTCCTCCTCCTCCTCCTCCTCTTGCTCCTCCTTTCCCCCTCCAACTTATGGTAGTGGTGGTGGAAAGCATGCCCATCCTGCGGGGCCGGTGTTCTTCGCGCGGGCACGTTTTTCGACGGCCCCGAGGCGCGGCGAGGGCCCCCAGAGGCCGCCAGCGGCCAAAAGCCCGCCGTTCCGGTTTTTCGGGGGGCGGAGCGTCGGCTCTCCAGGGAGGGGGCCCGAAGCGCCAGCTGAGCGGCGCAAGAAAAACGGGGTCAAATTACGCCGACATTGGCGCGCAAGCCGCCCGCGTCGGGTCGCGCGTGAGCGACTTCGTCTCCAACATAGCGTGCCGCGCCGGCAGCCCGCGTGAGCCGCGGCGTAAGGTCGCCGTGTCGTCTCGCGTAAGACCCCTTTTTTGATCGCCTGATCCTCGCTCAGCTGGGGCAGAGCGCCGCCGCTGCCTCGACGGGCCCTCCTCCGAGCTACCGCCCAAGAGCGGCCCATGGCGCCGCGGCGCCGCGGCCCCGTCTGCCTCCTCCTGGCGTGCGCGGCGGCGGGCTCCGCGCGGGCGCTCGGCCGCGGCGCCGCGGCCGCGAAGGAGGTCGAGACCGCACCGTCGTTGTCGTCGTCGTCGTCGTCGTCGTCGTCGTCGTCGTCGTCGTCGTCGTCGTCGTGGTCGTGGTCGTGGTCGTGGTCGTGGTCGTCCTGGCCGTCGTAATCGTGGCCGTCGTTGTCGTCTTCGTCGCAGCCGTCGTGGTCGTAGTCGTCGGCGTCGTCGTCGTGGTCGTGGTCGTCGTCGTAGTCGTGGTCCTGGCCGTCGTAGTCATCGTCGTCGTGGTCGTGGTCGTAGCCGCCGTGGGCGTCGTCGTCGTGGTCGTCGTCGTGGTCTTGGTCTTGGCCGTGGCCGTCGTGGTCGTGGCTGTCCTGGTGCCGGGGCCGGGAAGGAGGTTCGAGGTTCGAGGCAATCGGGCGTCTTCGTCGGTTCTCTGCGGGTCTCTAGTCTCCGGATGCTGTCCAGCAGCTGCGCCTTGCCGAGGGCCTCCCAGGGGTGCCCTAAAAGTCCCGAACCGCCTGAGATCGAGGTTTCGTGACCGTTTCGTTTCTCTGCGGTTATCCAGCCTCCGGATGCTCTCCCACAGCTGCGCCTCGCAGCTAGTTGCGGCCCCAGCGCTGGACGTCTTCCTCGATGTTACGCTGGCGCCTCTGGCGCCGGCAGGCGCTCGCTGCGTGAGCCGATTCGCGGACCTCCCCCCCCCCTTCCCAAGTGTGGCTATATCACGCCCCCTCCTCGGAGGGCACCAACTATACACCTGCACCGATCCTGACCAGGCCAATCCTAGGCCCAGCATCGGTGTATGTGCGTTCCTGCCCCAGGCAAGGGAGCGTATGCACCGATCCCGGCCCCAGGGTGATCCTGGCCAGGATCGGTGTTGGTGTATAGTTGGTGCCCTCCTACCTCACCGTCCGCCCCGCGAGGCCCCCGCGGGCGCCGCGCCGCTACAGCCCGCGGCGGGGCCGCCCGGCGCTGCAGATGAGGCGCCGGACGGCCTGTGGAGCGGCTCCGACGCCGCGCCGTGGAGCGCGCACGGCCCGCGGCAGCCGCGCAGCAGCGTGGCCAGGCACGGCGCGGGCTCCCGCAGCGCAGGGCCCCGGCTGCAGATCCTGGGCATGTTCGACTCGGGGACACACCTGCTCGGGGCGCTGCTGGAGGCCAACGTGGGGCACGAGACCATGCGGGACATCTGCCCCAACGCAGACATAGGCGCCGAGAACACTTGGAAGGATCGGCGGCGCGTAGGAGTGAATCCTCGCCGGGGTGGCTTGTGGTGCGGGCCCACAAGGCACCCCACCCTTGGCTTGCGGGCTTAGATTTGCCCCCCCGCCCCCCGCCCCCTCCCCTCCCCCCCGCGGTGCCCTCGACCCGCGCATCAGGGGCCGCTGTGCCCAGGGCCGCTCTTCTTTGCGGAGCCCAGAGGAGGACTACCACTGCCACTTCTGGAAGCACGAGACCCCGCAGCAGCTGGACAGGCTGGTGGGCGTGTTCAAGCGCCAGGAGGCGGCGTTTGGAGCCCGCAGGTCCTTGGTCGTGGTCGCTATGGTGCGAAGTCCGCTCGCGCAGCTGGCCGGCTGGGCGAAGGCGCCGTACGATTTGCAAGAGTGTGTGAACAGGGTCGGTTTGTACAATACCGACTCTCCCGGATCGCTCAAGCCATCCGCCCCTTGCTCGATGCGCGGCGACAGCTTCGCAGGGCTCACCGGCGTTTGGAACGAGTACGTGCGCGCGTATGACAACCTGAGCCGCAGAGCCGACGACGGCGTTCGCACGATCGTGGTGGAGTACGAGCGTTTGGTGCTAGACCCGGAGCCCGTCGTCCGACAGATCGCTGGGGCACTGGGCCTGCGCCTGGACACTTTCAGGTCCATCGAGTCGGATGCGAAGAAGGACGGCGAGTCGCACGGCAGAGACGAAGCGATCCAGAGCATCGAGAACATGCTGTATCAGCGAGACTTTAATCCAGGGGGCAGTTTGGGAGGGTGGGGCTCCAAGGGAGCCGTGTGCAGGTCCCTGGACCAGGACTTACTACGGCGGCATGACTTCGTCTTGAGATCGGGGAGCAGAAGAGCCTACATTGCAGACTGCGAGTGATCCTTACTGTGCCATCTAATTCATGAGAAAAGCGCATCCTACAATGATTGGTGTTGCTACTTGCTCTCCTTGGCACCAAACGGCAAATGCGACAACACGCACATGAACTCTGCGCCTCCTTGTGATCCTGTTTCCCCCAGACGGTGCTTGCGCTCAGGGCTCCTCCCTCCGGCTCTGCGGAATTGGCCCTGTGGGTCGCAGTCGGTCGTTTCCGCTCGGCCATGCGTGGTGCCCCGTGATGCCTTGTGGCCGCCCTCGGCCGCTCCCGCTCCGTGCCTACCGGCTGGTGCCCCGCGGTTTCCCGAGGGCCGCAGTCGGACGCTGGCAGCTCCACGCGTATATGGTTCCCAAGGGGCTGCGGTCGGCCGTCCCCTCTCCCTCTCTCTCTCTCTATATCGGTGCCCCCTTTATGTTTGGTGCCCCAACGGCTCCCTGTGGCGCAGAGGGCCAGTGGACACTCAGGAGAGGAAAAAACACACAGACACAATTAATCGTCGATTCCCAGGAAAATATGGGAAAATATGGGTAGTGGGGGGGAAAACAAAAACCCAGAAAATATTAGAAAATATGGGGAATAGTTTTATTTGTGTGTATTTATTTGTGTGTCCTGGGGCCCCTTCAGACACACGTGGAACCACACACAGGGCCTGTGTGTGTGGTTCCACGTGGGCCGCAGTCGGCATTCCCTTCTCCACCTGGTGCCCTATAGGCTTCCTCCTCCTCCTCCTCCTCCTCCTCCTCCTCCTCCCCTGTCTGTGGTGCCCCCTGGAACGCAGCCGGCCGTTCCTGCTCAGTGCCCTAGACTTGCACCCCGTAGGTTTCGCCCCATCGGATTGCACACCATACACTTTCGATTCCGTCTTTTTACGAATTAGAACGCCCCCCCCCCCTCCCGCAGAGGCTGGGGTTACTGGTACCCCTCCGCATTGTACGTTTTTGACCTATCATCCACGACCTCTAACATCAACCCCGCAATCCATTACATACATAGTTACGCCTGAGAGAACCCAGTCAGTGGATGTTTTGAAAATGAATACTATGGAACTTGAAATCGATTGTGAGATCGAGAACGAGACCGATAGTGAAATCGATGATGAGGACGATTGTAAGGTCGATCGTGAGACCGAGAGTGAAATCGATTCACTGAGATCGATAGTGAGATCGATCGCGAGATCGCTCATGCGATCTCTAGTGAGATCGCTTGTGAGATCGATAGTGAGATCGATTGTGAGATCGATGGTGAGATCGATAGATAAGTGGGTAATGAGATCGATGGTGAGACCGATCGATAAGAAGATCGACCAGGAACCCGGGAACCCGGGAACCTCGCCGCCCTCCGAAATCGGCCCTGAACCCAGAATCGGGAATCCGGGAACCCGGAACCAGGAACCCGGGAACCCAGCGTGCGACCGAAATCGGCGGGACACTTTGGCCAAATCCTTCAACTTCCGCGAGGACCCCTTCAGTGCAAGCACTGATTGAGGAATATTCAATGCGGTGCGCAGTCGTTGGTCTAGAAAGTTCGTGTTGACCCAATCCCTATCACATAACATCATGCGGTCCGCATGCGCGGGCCCCCGCGCGCATGTCAGCATCATTCCAAATCAATACATGGTATACAGTCGAGGCCCTGAAGAAGGAACCCTTTTCGTTGGGGAGGGGCTCCGTGTTCCTTAATTCTTTTGTAGCTTGCCTTGGAGGTTCCTTCGATTTTCGATGCGAAATCGAAGTTCAGCTTATGGAAAACAGGGGCCTCGTTCCTCATTTAGGGTTCCTTAGGTCAGCGCCTCGATTGCAAGTTGATCGACACAGAGTTGCCCAGAAACAGTGAAAAAAAAACAGCTGGTTCCCCAGAAAGCGTTGCCAGATGTTTGCTCGACCTCCCTGGCCTTCCCCCCCCCACCTTCCTGCGTCTGCCGCTCCTGCGGCTGGTGCCACACGTCGTCCCGGTCGACGTCTGTGCGCCGGTACCGGCAGAAGGCCCATACGTCGCAGTGGGAGGCGCACAGCTCCGCCAGAAATCGGGGGCGGAAAAGAGGGGGGTGATGACTAGGGGGGGGTGGATATCATGGCGGGGGGCATGATATTTCCCCAGATTTCATGGCGCCTCTTCTTATTTCATTATGTCCCTGGCCCCCCCGTTGGGCCGCGCACATGCCGCTGGTCATGATTTGCACCCCCCCCTCTTGGACACCCCCCTCTTTGCCGCTCCCGAAGAAACTGGCTGCAGAAGTCCTCGACGCCGCCAAGGTTGCAGCGCCACTTGCCCCTTGCCTTACCACCTCGTTCGCCGCAGGCCCGATTTCAGCCTTCCACGAACATCGCCCCGCATGTGCCCTTGAGGCGGTTGATTATCTCTGGCCAGGTCTTGAGGCGCCCCTCTCTCCGATTCCACTGCGGCCTCCAGTGGATGTCGCACCGAGGCACGCGGTAGAGGCTGACGTGCGGGCCGTTCCAGTCGCGCTGGTGATAGGCGGGGTCGTTGCCCCAGCCGTGGGCGCTCGCTGCAGGGGTGCTGTGCCAGCAGGACAAGTATCTCCAGGCGCTGTCAGAGGGTACACCCCGGCTGCTCCTGTCCAAGCTGGACCAGTCAGCAGCACGATAGCGAACAGCGCGCCAGGTTGAGGCGTCGGAGAGCACTTGGTCTGCATCCCCTTCCTGGCCGGTCTGGCCAGTCTGGGTGGTGCTTCCCGCTGGGGCGTTACCGTCGACTGCGTTGGGTGGCGGGGCAGCTACCGTGGATGATCCAGGCGAGGTGCGCGGAGTCAGCTCCGTCCCAGATCGTGACCCAGTCGCCCCCCGCTTTGGCGCAGAGTCTCGGCCCTGTCCGGACCTCCTGCGCAGGATCTATCACGGAGCCAGGCGGGACGTCGGGCTAGAGCCGCTCCCCAGTCTCGTCAGCCCAAACGTGCCAGCGCGCGGGGGGAGCGCCACCATCGTCACTGGCCATTCGGCAGTCCCCCACCCGCACGTTGGGCGCGATGCCACTGTGCTGCTGTGACTCGCTTGGCTTGGTGGCCAGGGCGAGCCCGAGGCGGTGCTCGTCAGCCGCCCTAACCACCCGCTGTCGTCGCGTGTGCCCGCGCCGTTCCCGCCTTCTTGGTCGTGGGGACGGGGCGAGCGCGGCTGTCCCTCCCCCCCCCGCCGCCGCCCTCGCCGTCGCTCCAGTCGGGGTGTGGCGCCGGCCTGCGCGGCCGTGCTGCCCTGTTCAACATGCCCGCCAGCTCCGCAGTGGAGGGCTGGCCTCGCCCTTGGTCTCTCCAGGCGCGGAGCCTTCGGTTTCCCCCCACCGCCGAGCTTCTCCGCGTGAGCGGACCTGGCACGCTGTGTCGGGTTCGCTGGGGGGGGGCATCGTCTGCACGCCCTGGGGGTTGGAGCTCGCGGTCCCCAGTGGCGCCGCCTGCCGCATGCTCTCGCGTCCCGCCCGCGGCTGTCGTCTCGGGGACATCCACGCCAGGGCGGAGGCCCCGCTGCCGGGCACCCACCGCGCCTCCTTCCGTGCCCGTTGGCGCGCCACGCGCGCGCAGAGGCGATCCTCTTCGGCGCGCCTCTGGGGGATGGTCGCTCCGACTGCAGTCGGGCTGTTGGGCCCCGTCTACGGCAGCAGAAGGTCTGCCAGGCGGGTGCTGCCAGTCGGGTGTTCCACCTTGCGTCCGGAGTGAAGTGGTCGACGCGCCTGCCGTTCGCGCTCTGGTGGTGGCTTGCTGTCCAGGGCGCGCAGGAAGACGAGGAGAATGACGTCACCCAGTATCGGTTCCCCCAGGATGTCGTAGTCGTCCCTCCATAGCACCCGACGCAGTGTCAACGGCACTTCGCTCCCCGCCTACAGGCTGCCTTCTTGCTGGTTGCCAAGGCTGGACACATCCCGGTGTATATCCCCGAGTTGGGCCCCCGATTATGGTCCAGCCGAGGACCCCGCAAAGTCGGGGATTGGGGTCGCCATGCCTTTCGTTACTCAATCTCTTGGCCCCTACCCATCCGGAGCCCGCTTGACGGACACAGGGCTCGAAAAATAGTCAAACCGCAAGGTAAGGATGAGCAATGTTCCAAGGTGACCCTTGCATCCTTCCCCTTCGGCCCACCCTTGGCCGCGTTCGCTGGCCGCGCCCCGCTCGCAAAGCGTCGACATGGCCCTCCAGGGCCCGTGCATCCTTGTCGTCCCTCCTGATGATACGGCTTGACTGTAGAGGCCGAAGCTTGGGGAAAAACGCCAGGCTACAACTTCTACGCCGCAGCGCGGCAGAGGCAGTCCGCGCACGCGCGCTCGGGCAAGCCGGGCGGCGGCATCGCGAATTGCCCGGCCGCGAGGGGGAGGGCAACTGGCGGGAGGGAGGTGGCCGTGGGCGGGCGGAGAGGAGGGAGAGCGCTCACGCGGCGGGCCCCGCCGCGGAGCGGCCGGGGCGGCCGGCTGGTGCCGCCAGGAGCCGGCACGCCAGCGATGACGGCGCCTGGGGTCGGGGGCCGGGGGTCGGGGACGACCCTCCTCCTCCTCCTCCTCCCCCCCCCTCCTCCCCCTCCTCCTCTCCTCCTCCTCCTCCTCCTCCTCCTCCTCCTCCTCCTCCTCCTCCTCCTCCTCGAGGCCAGCTCACAGCACGCGTCTGGGGTCGGGGGCCACGAGGCCCCCCCGGGCTGCCCCCGCCCGGGGGCCCCAGGCGCGCCCCGGGCGAAGCGCCGGCCGTGTCCCCCCGCCCGGGCACCCTCATGGGCCAAGTTCGATCCGATCGGTCCGATTCGGTGATGGTCGTTTTCTGCTTCATTGTTTGGCCGATCTGCGCGGGCCCTCGCCTTCCCCCTCCCCCCCCCCAATGGAGTAGCTCTTGGCTTTGTGTGTTGCGCCTGTTTCGAGCAGGTGGGGTCTCACGCACTGCTGCAAACAGTCGCATTCAGCAGAGGTCCCGAGCCAGACCCCCCCCCCCGACTCCCACCCCCCTTTCGCCCAATGTCGAAACGCCGATTAAGAACACGTTTACATATGTCGCGCGCCATTCGTTCCGACGCGC